GACGACGAAATAAAAACAGCAATTCTGGATTGAAACCGGTGGAAAATTCGGCGCCAAAATCTGATCTTCTTCAAGTGTGCACATACTTTTGAAACAAAGAAAAAATTTCATCCAAAATTTTTTTCCGAAAGTGAGGCGATATTATCTGCTTTGCTTCCATTGATAGGTTATCGACTACGAGAAATCGATTGAGAAGGATTTCATAGCACGAAACCTCTTCGTTCCTTCTAAATGTGGAATTTTGGGGTGTCCACATAGTTCTGAAACCCACTCTGTACTGTTAAATTCTCCTTTAGAGCGTGGATGGTACCAGCGTACAATAGCTTTGCGATTGTTGAGGAATAACACGCGATCCGTGATGAAGGATTACAAAGAGGGTGTAGTCTACTTCGGCGATGACGACAACTCATATGACACACGATTATTCACTGACTACATAAGAAATGTTAAAAAGATTGGAATGTGGGCCGTGGGTTAGCGTTTGCTTTCTGAAATATAGAAACAGTTGCTTTAATGCATTGTCTTGCAGGACTATCCGGAGGAAGCCTCGTAGAGTCTCCGAGAGTTGTGAACAACACTGTGGTCGGGTACAAAGTAAAATGGGGTACGAAACGAAAATTTGCAGTTGACATGGCAGGATTTGCAATCAATCTTAACATCGTGCTGAAGTATGTTACATCTAGAGAGTTTTCGCAAAGCCTTTCTCTGAATTAATGACCAATTTGACAGTTTCAGTACAACCGCTGTTTTTGGAAAATCATGCCAAAGTGGGTTTGGAGCTCCAGAACCGTGTCTGCTAGAAGATATGGGTTTTTCTCAAAGCGATATCGAGCCGTTTGGACTAGATGAAGATGCAGCTGTACGTTTGCTCTCATTTGGAGAGCTTTCGTGGAGTTTTCCAATAAGAATATTCTCTAAATTCTGCACTGAAAATTCTGGTACAAACTAAATTTTGATGAGAGCGAACCAGTAACTTATAATACAAAAGGCTAAATGTTGACAAAATTATTTTTAATTTCCAGAAACATGATGTTCTAGTATGGCACACTAGGACGACACAACCGAAATTCAAGAAACACCCGTCTGATGCGTACGACGATTTCGTCGTAGAATTGTGACAATAGACTGATCACTTTAGTAAGGCAGTGCTTATCTCGTGACTGTATTTCCCAGTTCCACGCGGAGTGAACTAGGGAAAGCAGTATTCTTCAGGTTTTGAGCATACGGGTTACTTGTGAAAATATAATATGATAATAAGTAATATATTGCTCTTTCTCATAAAAAGTTTTGCTCTTGTGTCCTTGGGGGGATCGCTTCAGTCTAAAGGTCTAGTCACTTTAATAATAATGTGTCTACTGTCACTACTGGTAACTCACATTTGACGCAACGTCTTCATTTTATTATGACTTGACTTTGCTCTACTTTATTGTTATCTACCGTGCACATTGCGTTTGTATCAGACCGCATTGATGAGAATGGAACACGTTGTAATGCCTGAGGTTTGCCTTCTTTTAATCGGATTCGGCTGTTTGTTGAATGAATTAAAAAATTAACATAGATTCAACCGAGCTCACAAAAAATTGTAGATTCGAAAAATTAGCTTCTCAGCAAAAGAAAATGCGTTGCTGGTACACTATTACATAACGTTTCACCTAATGTTTAAGTAGTAGAATGGTGGGTAGACACAGATAAAGCCTAGAGTTAATATCAGTTTTGCAACCCTCGAATACCAAGAATATGGAGAACGTCACGAATACAATTGGTCACACCCATCGAAATGCATTGCTGACCTCCGTTCTTACTGAAATTCGTGTGCACCTTTACAAGAATCTAACGTTCTAGGGCTGAACAGAGTCGACCATAAGTATCACAGATGTGTCGTTGTCGCGGCTCGAAGCAATAATGGCGCTAAGCCTTACAAATTGATCCGATTGCGAGGAATGTGAGCTCTGAACGATACTGATACCTTGGCCACACTGATATCTGATAAGTAAGGTAGATGACGACGTACCGGCTAATTTAAATATGAGCGGAACAGTGGATCCATGGAGCAAGCAAGTTAAGACAACTCGTCCAGACACGCCCCTCATCGTCGTAAAGGGGAATGGAGGGCATACTTGTTAATGGCTTCATTGGCGGTTTGCTTTGATTCAACTTTCATTTCCAGTTAGTTTGGCATACACAATTGACCGCGTGACCCACCAGTTTGATCTGAGGTTGTTGGTTCGAAGAAGGATTCCACAATAAGCTTGAAGGTTGAGAGGGGAAGTTTACCCAGTGAAAAGACAGGCGGTCTCTCTAGCTGGAAGACACACAATTTATAGTGGAGGATATGTCCATAGCGATCTAGCATGACCGTCTCCGCAACGCTACGACCCGGCACGCCCCAACCACTCGCCATACGTCTCGAGCCGGTAGCGTTGAATAGGGCAGCACCGATGAGATCCGCATCATTGCGGAAATCAAAGACCATCAAGTGAAAGGTCGCATTCCTACATTTCTAGGGTTTTAAGCGTTTCTCATGGTTTCGTTTTATCATTGACCACCTCTACCCTCGCTCCAATGGGCAGCCTTCGAAACATAAACCACACCTCTAAGCCCGAGCAAACGATATAGGATTTGGTCCTGTAATTTATGTTAATAGCAGCGCTAGGTGTAATGAATCGGTCCATGGCAAATAGGCTACCTTCACAAAAAGGTTATCAGTTTTTGAATCAGCGCTGCGTCGAGAACATCTAAAAGTAAGATAAAACTCAGTTCGTATAAATGACTTTCTCTTTTCAATGTGGCTCATCTGGCTTTACGTTGAAATTTCAGTGATCAAATGACTTACAGTGAAATTAACTCCTCCTAATAACACCCCAAATGAATTAATAATTACAGCAAAGATAAGGCACAATAATTAGACCCCACTCAAGCTACGACTAGTTTACCTTTTGTACAGGAAATCAGGAGAAAGTAGTAGTAGAAAGCACCAACCACTTTTTCGACTAATGGCTCGGCCCTCTTCATATGATTCTACACTTACTTCTTTACTTCTTGAAACAATAACAGGCACAACAGCAAACTCACAACCAGTATCAGTGTGATTCAATTTTTCCAAAACTATTACCAATTTCCTACACTTTTGTTAGGTGGCAAGTATGCGTCTACAGGGCCTAGTTCTTCCACCAGAACAAAGTACCCATTTTACAACATGCCCTATGATAGTGGACTCCAAATTGGGCCGATCCTAATCAGAAATGTAGAGGAATACATGACTCGCAAGCACAGCCGAGCTGTCATAATCAATTATTCTTCGAATTGAACACGATGCCCTATTCACCGCAGGGCAATCCCAAGAGTCCTGAGCAGAGAGAAGGTTGTGGCGAAAAATTGACCGCCTCTTTACGCCCCTCCTCTCAACGACCACTCCGATATGACCCCTTCTTTATCCTCCGCACATCCGGTTTCATAACAAGATGTTAGTTTCACATGTACGAAACGGTGGCAGCGCCACGCAAATGCTCCGCTGTTCAAATCCTAAACCATTTCTGCGAAGAATGGCTTCTCCTTCTATCCTTACAAGACATTTATTCTTTGCCACATTGGCCAGGAAAGTAGAACATTGAAGGAGGTACTGCCCCTACACAGTTGAACAGTCTCGCGCTCCAGTATAGCGGCGCTAACTACCCGCGATCGCGTCGCGCGCTGTGCCTAGAGCGCGCTAGTTGGAAAAATCGTCAAATGTACCCCCTATTTAAAGGACTATAACTTTCTTCATTGATAACCATTTCAGAAAGTGAAGGCAGCTTTTGAATGCACGAGACTTCTAGTTTCTAGTGCTGAGCGTTTTTCTAAGCACGCCTATTCTCGAGAGTGGAAAACGTCGAGAAATTGTCGAGGAAATGAAATTCACATGCGAGTTTTCCACTCTTCGAAACACAGTGATTTTCTTTTGATTTGAAAATTGGAGGAAGCATTGTAAAGTAGAAGATTATGCTTTTTGATACGTGCTGCAATTGTATGGAACATCTTCTACATAGTTCGCGATAAATCTGCGTCGAGGAAATGTCGAGGACATTTTCGAAGCCATTCAAAAACTCTATTCTTTGAACACCTTAAAATGCTTCTGTACACGTCAGTTCGATGGAGTAAATTGGAAAATGATGCACTTGGCGCAGATCCATTCCATTCTGGTATGCGCCATGCAGTGACCCCATTCGGAGTCATTGAGAAGGTGTTTTGTCTACACGACAACTCACTGTGCAGGCCGAAAGTGTCTTCTCAACTAACTAGAAAACTCTTATGTATGTGCTTCCTTGCGACCTGTTCCGATGTAAAGCAATTTGACCGCTGCCATTATTTGATATCGCCAATAAACCCGAAGACTGTTCTTCACTAGGTTCTCGAGGTCCTTATATCTTAATTTCAGAAAGTAATTGTTTGCTGCCCTTCTCTAGGATTATTTGCAAAACGCTATGTCCTCCGATTTCGTCGTACTGGTCTCTATCCACCCCTTCAAGAAACCAGAAAGTGCTGGGTGCAAACCATACACCACAAGTGACGACGGCCCCCAGCAAATGCAAATGTTTTTTGATTATTGAACAAAGGCGAATTAACTGCCTCGGGTTTTATAATGAAATGATTAACCTGTTGCAGTTGTATTCGATCAGTTGACACTAATTACAACTATCATTTACTAAAAATCAGCTATCACTATGAACCACTACTAACCAGATTTACTTGGAGGCCGTCGTCAGTGTTTGGTCTGCACCCGACACTTTCTGGCTTTTTGAAGGGGAGGGTACGTAGCAATTAACAACCACTTCCCATTTTATTTTTTGATTCCAGATTGTTGTAAGATATCAGTTTGCATTACGCTATCTAAAACACGTTGTGAAATTAATGATAGTGAATGAGTGACAGCAGCACCGTTGCGTCCGGCGACTGAGCGGTGCATTACGACCCCCTCTCTTCTCATCGGAGCAAATACAACCCCTTGGAGGATTTCCTCAACCGTTATTTACTGCCGTGCAGCTCGCCTTTGAGTCAGGAGCAGTAGACGCGACCGCAAATTTTTTAAAAACTTTTGAAATTTGGTTCGTATGAATATTACACACTATTCTCAATAAAAACTGGAGTAACAATAAATTTTATCATATAACAGGAAGAAGAACATGTGCAACGCAAATCAATGTTTCACACCAAATGACAGAAAGTTTGTGAAAATTCATGCATCCGATTCGCCAAATCTGGCAGGTAGGCTCACTCGTGCCGCATTTGCACGACGTTTCATTCCAGTGGGAGCTGTACGAATCGGGGATACTGTTCTGCAAAGTTCGCGCATGATTCGAGCTACGGAGAAGATGGTTTTGAAGGAAGTCTGATTGCATTAGGCAAACCTGATTGGCTTCTTGAATATTTCTTCACATTCCGACGAGTCTTCACTGTCATTGTTTTCTTCCGAATCTGTTTCACTTGTACTCTCCTCGTTCGAATCCGTCGATTCCTCAGCATTTTCATCTTCATCACTGCTAGTTGTTGCTTCAGCGCGTCGTTTCTCTTTCGCCTCACCTCCATCCGCACTGGCGTCCTCTTCCCCTTCTGTTGCCTCACTCTCACTGAAATCCTAGTGCACTTTAAGGTCTTGAGCAGCTTCTGTATGAAACTCAAAAATACGCGCAGAAAACCATAGGATAGATAAGAATTCAGACTAGATATATTGGATTGGTGCAAAAGTCTTGAGACACTCGAATGTGTGTTCAAAAATCTTTCACAACTTTGTACAAACACTAACTCAATAAACTATATAATAACCATAACTATG